TATATATAGGACATAGCACAAACGGCTGGCCCATCATTTATGAGGTTCATAACCTGTATATTGTTCACGTCCTTTCACTAATGGCACAAGTCAATGTCAAAAATAATGCATGTCCCCTCAGTTACTCTGCAGTACTTCATTCGCTTAAGTTAATCATTTACCAGAACAATTTCCATTGCACCTTAGTGTTTCCATCCTTTTTCCACTATTGATAATACTTGTGAAAACATTACATCCGCTGCAACGGCATTGATCATAACACAAATGATTTCCTCTCGACCCCACAGGGTATCAGGAACGCGCGCGGAAGTACAAGATTAAGTGATGACATACGCTTCGTACATTTTACTCTACGTATACTACAAATCAGGACGAAACTTTACAAATTGTTGTTTCTAAAAAAAACAATTTGGCCCATAGAGTAACGTCATCGCACAAAAATTCAGCAGCGTCAAAAATCTAGCCGGAAAACACAGATACATATTTCAGACAATCAGGGACAAAAGTAGTTGACACACTTGTTTAAAACGGGTGCTTTTAGCAAACATTTAATTCATCTATTATTTCATTCTTTTTAAACGCCGTAAATCCCCTCACCCCCCGAATCAATGTTGTCTGAAGTAAAAAAAAGACTTGAGGGTCCAAAATTCAACATTGATTTTGGCGGGGGAGGGGTTGGGGTAGACAGGGGAATGGGATAAGTATATCCACTATGCAAAAAGGGGCCATTTTACGGAAGTGTGCCAACACTTTTGTCCCTCATTGTAGCTTTTTTACTACCAGCTTGTCTAATTTTTTTCCTAACATCATAAAGGAGAAAAGTACCATTCATAGACGAAAAGGGGGAGGAGATTAAGGAAATGCTGAGACAATAAAAATAATTTCAAGGGTCGAAACTTTTTTCGTAAGAAGCCATTGAAAGAAACGAAGTCGGTACAAGTCTCTTTCACGTTGAAACGTCTTCTTTTCCCTCCATGCAGATGTAAATTTAGTGACTAGACACTATCGGCCTGAAGCGAGGGTTCTTTCAGACCAAACAAAGCTAAGAGTGTAATAAATACAATTTGGCTTTTGTCCTCGATCTCAAACATCAGATTTGCACACATCGTCAAACGTATTTTGAGTCGATCCTATTAACAATCTATCAGGCCCGAGAGCTCAACTTCACTTCTTTACTCGATGTTTAACGGCGCAGCTCCACTCAAGTTGAATAAAAATATCATGTGTGATCATTTCCGAGTTGGCCTGGGCGCTCTTTTCAAAGCGAGGCCGAATAGCCTTCGGTATGAAATTCATCTTTTGATGTACAGTTTTTTACTTGCTCTTATTGAAAAAAGACGGTTTTGTACGTCAAAACAGACGACGTTGCTGAGTTTCTTCGCCTTTCTAGCCAAAATTTTAAAATCTCCGTTATGTACAAGATGCCAGGGATCCAAGATTTCACTCAACTGGTATTTAACAAGCTAACACATGGCTTTGTTTTTCGTAAGCAAACAGGAAGACAAACACCAACAGACAGGTGATCAATCTTTGTACTAATCCGCTTTTTTTGAAACAAAAATCCTTCTTACGCCATGGTAAATTGATTTATTGTCATCTGCAGTGTGCTCCCGAAATAGCGATCAGTTTGAGCATTGGGCATTTTCTATCAGATGGTTGCTTGCCAGAGAGCCAAGAGCTTTGGCACGAGCAAAGTAGTGCGTTTTCGATAACTGTCGTTTTATATGGTAAGCAACTAACTGAATAGTTTTTTCTCAGTTTTCAAAGCAGCAGTCATCGGGAGCAGCTATCACATTGAGAATGTTAAAAAACATCTGCTTTCATGGTCATAAAAGCAACAGCTATGCATGTGCCCCCGACATTTTATTTTGGTACTTTTCTTTGACGCGCACTGCACGACTACGATTGTCAGACAACCGACGTAAAAACTCCTAATGCGACTTTTCGAGCCTGGAATTCAACTCCACGAAAATTTACCTACATTTGACAAAGTGGACTACTTTTCACGAGGTAAAATTAAGTTGGCTATGAAAGAACGCAAATTCATTTTTACTGACGCTTTCACTGGAAGCTTCTTATTTTTTCATCATGGTCGAAGACTGAATGAATTATTAAATCTTCGGAAGATAGTTAGACTGAAAAGATTAAATCTCGCGGAATAATCGTCAAAGTCTTGAAAGAGAAATTTGTTTATTCAAATCTGACTTGGGTGTCCGCCATGATCGATTGCCTGAACGCATCAGTATTTTGACAACGAATCTTACGATCCAGACAAATAAGGCGACCTTGAACCGTTTTAAGAACTGTTTGGCAGTTGATGTTTTCTTTAAAATTCTTGTTCGTGACATTAAGTCTCTTAAGTAGGTACCTGCTTGGTCGAGAATGTCCTGATAGCTAAATTGTTTCTTGCCCTAATAAAAATTAACAAACCAATGCGGTTTTTAGTAATTTTAATTTACGTCCCCTTGCTTATACTCGGAACTCCCTGATCGGAACCCTCAATAATGATAGCCTAATACTCTTCCAGTCTCAACAGCAATCAAAATTCATTTGTACCGAAAGAGACACGCTTTATTAACCTTTGGAAAAATGTTTCCAAGAACCACGTTTAAATACTATGAGAATTACAAAATTATTAGGTTGATTATAATAACTCAGTGTCTAGTTAATGCCAGCCGACTGCAACTGCTGGTGTTGTATAAGAAAAGAGCATGCTAAAAGGTTGGGAAAAGAAGACAAGATTGTTTTAAATTTTGCGTGAGTATTATCAGGGCGAGTGGAAAATTTCAATCCGCCAATTTGCATGCGATATTGTTTCCTGTGCAAACTCTTTTCAATATTATTATCGTTAACCAGAACAAACAAGCCATCCATCTTTACTTTTGTATCACACCGCCGTGTACACACAGACAAAGATACTTATAGAAAGCCTTATAGAAATTATTCACTGTAACTTAAAAACAAAAGAAACAACAACATAAGAACAAACCGGAAAATATTATTTTCCTTTACGATTCTTCAACATCCCTTTACATAAGCACTCTCTCAGAGAGAGTTCTGTTTCGGTCAAGTCGATATACGGGGGTGCAGAACTGGAAACGTAGCGCTCTCGTTAGTAAGTTGATAGTTGGTCCTACAGGACACGTTCGATCGAGAGCGAAAAATAATGTTTTCAACCACTCGTTAAGTTCGTGTTCCGGTATCTCGTTTGCCATGGGAGTCATTATATAGTATAATGAGATACTAGCCTTTACGTCCATCTTCAAGTAACTGCAAGTTTAAGCAACGACGTCTTTGAGTGTCGTACGTCAACTGGAAGTGGACTTTTTGCTTTCTTGGGCCATATATGATTCAGACCAAATTTTCGGGCAAATCGGCGCTGTAATACTTAAGATACTTGACAATAGAAATTTGGTAGTGCCAAGGCATAATTCAAGAGAAAAGGACTCGGTAAAAACTAGTTTTCGGTTAAACGGCATCGCTTAAAAACGCCGTTGCTTATACTCGCTAATTTCGCCTTCGTTCAGTACTCGTTGATCTAAAAAGCCTTACTTTGGGTGTTTCGACGCCTGTTAGGTTTGATGAACGCAGTATTCTGTTTTGGCTGAGTATAATTGGCAGTCTTCAGAATTCTCTTGTATAAATAATTTTTGAGTGCCTTTTGTCTGAGCTTAAATTGATTGGATGAGAAAAAAAATAGACAAACAAAATAGGATTGATGTAAATTTTGGCGAAATTTTGTTCAAACTTTTAGGCTAGGACGGAATCTATAAATCATTCATTTATCAAGGATTAACAACAAGCTAAAGAAACGTCATCTGTAAAGCCTGGTTTCCATATGATCGTTATGATCGCTGTGATCGCTGAGAAAAAAAAAAGTTTAGTGATTGCAGCGATCATAGCGATCATATGGAAAACACTTTCCAGCGATCGCAGCGATCTCAGCGATCGTAGCGATCATATAGAAATCAGGCTTAAGGGGGCTGCAAAATGCGGATAATTATGTAATTTCTCCGGCTCCTCTAAAGCCTGGTTTCCATATGATCGCTACCATCGCTGTGATCGCTGAGAAAAATAAAAGTTCAGCGAGCGCAGCAATGATAGCGATCATGTGGAAACCACTTTCCAGCGATCGCTAGAAAGTGGTTTCCATATGATCACTCAGTGATCGCCACGATCGATGAACTATGTTTTGCTCAGCGATCGCAGCGATCACAGCGATGGTAGTGATCATATGGAAAGCAGGCTAAATAAAATCATAGCAACCTGGTTTTAACGACTGATGTTCAACAGTTTTTTTTCATACAAATCCTATGAGTAAATTGTTGATTAGGTCTAAAGTGTTCTTTGGGAGCGAGTAAAGGACATTAGAATAATGACTGAACTCACTGAAAGGAATACTAGCTTACAGGACTGAAATTCGCCAAAAAGTGATAAACTCAATCTAAAATGTCCAATCACAAGACGTCATTGTAATCAAAACGACTCGTCAGCCATTGTTGTTATAGGCGTAAGTTACTGAACCTTAACAGATTTTTTTAATAATTTTTTTTGTTAGTTACAACTTAGTTATTTAGTTGATTTTATATTTTTTGCCATAATTATTTGCACTGTAGCAACTGAGTAAAGGCATGTGGGGTGATAAGTGGGGTGGGGGAAGGTGCACACATGAAGCCCACTCTGGGCGGTTGCTTTTTGGTCCCAAACAGTTTAGACTTTACACTATCAGTCATCAATGCCAAGATCAGCTTTGTCTTATCTGTCATGAACGAAACCATTAAAACAATAGGCCTTCCATCTCGTATATTTTCGCGTTTTGTATTCATGAGAGAGATCACAACTCCGGAATTCTAAGCTTACATTCATACACTGCTCCATTTGTGAACTACGGTCAGTTCCACTAAGAAATACAGAAAATGTTTCGTCTGTTCTTCTTGATGACTTTGGCCATTTTCTTGGCCGCTTCCTTTGGAACTTCGCAGAACAATTCTTCAAATCAGGTAACTTTATTAGTTCCGAGTATCTATATTGGCAAGGGAACTGTTCAGGTGCGGTTTTCTTAGCTTTCTAGACCCCGGACAACGCTGTTTTTTGCGTTTTCAGGTTCTTTCACATTCATAATCCGTTCAATATCTTGGTTGCAAACTAGAAACTCAGCTATGAGAGACACAACTTTAATTTATCATTGATTTCACATGCAGAAATTGAAGGGATATGCACCGTAGATATGGCGTCGGATACAGCATTCAAGGCTTTATATAATTTTACACATTTCGGCTAGCACATGGGCCATCTTCAGTTTTCATGAGAATATTAAAGGAAAGAAAACAAAGTAGTTGCACTCCATGCACGAAAACCCAGGGTTGAAAAAAGGGGGGTAAAATTACAGTGTTTGATTGGTAAGGGGAAAGTCTGAAAACTGTTGGGTTCGAGAAATTCGCGCGAACAGCACGCGCCAACAGCACGCGCGTGTGAACTTACGCGTGAACATCGCTCTCTCGTTACCAGTCACCTCTTAATAAACAAACGCCTGTGGAATATTTGCCAACTGGGCAAAAATGTTTTCCCTAAAGATCTCAGGACTATTTTAAAAGTTGATCCAAATCTACCGTGTTCGACTCTGTTCGACTCCTGAAATAATGCTCGGGAAGCAGAGCGTCAATCAGAGAAGCTTGATTAAGGAGATTGATTGTTTAAATTGCTGTTACGTTACTCTTTACAAAAAATGGTGAGATCAAAAAGATGAGCTCAGGTGAGTTTAACTCTTTGACGACTGTTGTTCTTTTTGGTCCTCATTTTTGAATCATGAACATTTTCCTTCATGGATCCATTCAGCTATCCATTTAAGCTCTTAAGATGGTAAACAGCAAAATCAGCAAGGATAAATCTTTCCACAGGGACTTCATTTTAGCACATTGTGACCAATCCTAACAGTGTTAATGCATCGGTCAATTCTACTCTACAATGACTACAATAGGGACTACTCGTAGTCTAACAAAAAAAGCTGCTTAATTGTAATCAATTAGCAAAAAAATATACTTTGAGCCTCAAAAATGTCTTTTTTAGCCATTCCCATGCTAGCTAGCCAAAAACTGCTCCAATAAGGAGGATTTGGTCAAAAATGCAGTTTTTTGCTTCAAAATGACTGTAGTAAAGAGTTAATTTTACACTGGTAAGCTTATAAAAGCTTAAAACTTACACTACGTACTTTCGTGTCGCTTGTTAGCTAATTGCTTAGTACTTACTGTAGCAACTAAGGCCCGTTTCAAACGTCGTGCTACTGCCGTGCCGAACTCAATTGATCGAATTAAATTCGACTTTAGCACGGACTTTTGCGACGTGTGAAACCAAGTAGTGCTAGTGCCGTGTAGCACGGCAAGCCTTGCCATGCTACACAGCAGTAGCTCGACTTGGTTTCAAACATCGTGCTACCCCCATGCCTAACTCAATTCATGAATTATGAAATACATTAGAATATATTTAAAAGTTTGCTAAACCGTTTCTGTATTTTTGTGTTTTTTTTTTGGCATCAGCCATTCTATTTGACTGTCATTCTGTGAATTACAGCGGTGATTATACTGGTGTGAACTCCTAAAATATGTCTGGAATGTTTATGGTGTTGCAACCAATCACAGGTGAGATCTTCACACCACAGAAACCAAAGGCAACGAACGGTTTCCGATCGGTCATGGAACAAATTATTTTCGTTTTGTTTAAGGATACAAACTGCATGCCTTATTAGGAATTTAAAACACTGCTGTTTCCCAAGATCAGTGTCGAGCACCGCATCCAGTACATTGTTCGATTTTAGAAAGGAAAGTTTTAGAAGCCAATGCGACCAGCTTTCAATGTAATGACATATCACATGAAGACAATAAAAAATGAGCAATCGTGATGTTTTCTTTTCTGATAGCACAATCCTTGCTAATATTTTTTTGTAGAACAAGGGGATTCGATTTGTGTGGACTAACGATTGAATCTTCGAACTACTATCTACTACCTACGATCAGGCGTAACTACCGATCTCGATCGTTACAAAAAGTTTGAAAACTTGCGCGCCAAACCGTCGCCTGCGTAGGCACGGCACATCGGCTTTGTAATTTATTTCAAAATTGCTCAAACCTGTATTCTTCGCTATTATAGCAAATACTGTAAACAAATATGAAGGAAAAGCAATTGTTTACTTGTAATAAAAGTCTTAATTTTATAACAAAATGAAAATAATTTGTTCCATGACAGATAGGAAACCGTTCGTTGCCTCTGGTTTCTGTGGTGTGATGATCTCGTCTGTGATTGGTTTCATCACAATAAACATTCTAGACATATTTTAGGTGTTCACGCCAATATGATCACCGTCGTAAATTCGACGTCTGAAACCAAGTGTCAGAATGTCGTGCTGCAGTCGAGCTACAGTTGAGCCAGCTTAGCATGGCAGTAGCACGACGTTTGAAACAGGTCTAAGCATATTATTGGACCTTAAGTGAGTTTAAATATTCTGCATTGGCCTTAAAAAAAAGAACTGTTTTATTGTGAAGTTTTTTACAAATTATGTTCCTTTTTCTGTCAATAAAACTGATCGATTTGACATTATCGAAGGTTAGGTTTTCACTGCTACAGTACTTGAACACTCTTATAATATCACTACTATTTGAACACTCTTATAACGTTTATTTATAGGTAGATACAGTGAAATTCATTGTATTGCGCGGCGCGTTTTGCAAACTTAGAGGGGATTTGGGGTTTTTCTGTTCCGTCAATCATTTTAGTGAAGGCGGGGTTAATGCAAATCACAATGTAATTAATGTGCGTGCCAAGCTTGGCTGAGAATGACTCTAGACTGCTCAAGAATAGTGAAGGAAATTGCGATGGTGAGTGGATTTATTGTTGAAGGAAGGAGGCAGATGTTGCTTTATTCTTGCAAGTAACAAGAATGAGAAAGGTCTAAAAATCTGCAAAGCAAACTAAACTGGTCGATTATTGCCCGAAAAAGGATGATCACAAAGCAATGAACCTTGAAATGCGAAACAAACAAAACGGATCAAAATTCACCAATCACGAGTCACAAACCATGGCTTTTTGAACTCGTGCAAGTAAACATGTGTTTCCTAAGAGGTCTGCTAGGATGATTGATGGAACAGAAAAACCTAAAATATGCAAAATGCACGGCACGATGCAATGAATTTCGCTATAATATGTTGATAAATATTGAATGGATGTATATTTGTAGATTTTTATCACATTATTGTGATTATTGTAATTCACAGCTTTGGGGAAGATCAAAGTGCATGTATTGTAATTTTTTTATCAAATCTATATAGCTAACTATCTATCTATCTATCTTTCTGTCTATCTATCCATCTATCTATCTATCTATCTATCTATCTATCTATCTATCTATCTATCTATCTATCTATCTATCTATCTATCTATCTATCTATCTATCTAAAAGCGCAGGAGTGAAGGGTTCCGTCTAACATGGGAACATGGAGGAACACAACCCCATTTAGTTTCCCTGTTAAAATAAATAATTCGGAAAAAGTGGATCAGTGACTTGGAATTTTCTTTTCTCTCTTTGGTTCCATTTTCTTTAGATAATTAATGTATTTTTCAAAATGTGCCAGTTAATGCTGTAAATAGCTCAAACTTTTCTACCAGGCGTGAGAAATTAGAACACAGGTGTGAGTAGGAGTGAGATCAAAGTTTTTTGATCCACGGGCATAACAATTGCTCCTTAGGCATGATACTTGGCAGGTATAATAATTCAGTCTAAACCTTTTAATTTCCTGCTTTTTAATTTACCACTTTCATTTCCATGCTCATGTCTTTCCAAATTCTGTTCTTATAATTTGCAACTCAGTTTATGCTAGAGCATTTTCATATATTGTTTATCTAGAGTTTGCAGTCTTCCTTAGGTAATGAAAGTATGTTAAATTTCCCAATCTAACAGACTAATGGATCTGCAGCAAAGTCTAAAAGCTGTAAAGTTGTACCTCAAGCTGGTTGCTGTAAGGATGGTGAGTTGGCAATAATTGTAAAAATTGATTTACAGCAGAACGATTATCCATGGATGTTGAAAAAAAAAAAAAAAGCTATCAAAAATGAAAAAAAATTTTCATAGTAGGTTAAAATTTACCACACATTGAGCCAAAGGCCAGCAAAGGGCATTAAAGGATTTGCATTAGTGGGATCAGATCAGTTCAATCAAGTTGCTCTGCAGGTTCTGTGGTTTCATCAATAGTTCAGTTGTGCTTCATTAATTGCCTCTGTATTTTTTCAATAGGCAAAGATGGAAAGGATGGACAACATGGTGGGTCATCCATTAATATGCAGCAATTTTCCTTTATTATTAGGCTGCCCGTGAGGGCAACACTCAAATTATCAAGAAATGAGAAGCAAATTCACATTGTCAAGTTTTTTACTTTTTCTTTTGAAATAGATGCTCCCAACACTATAAGCTGTGCTCCTAAAATTTTCAGCTGTGCACCTAAAATTTTGGCAGCGCAGCTAAAAATTTACATCTGGTAGCACAAATGCTGCCCAAACTCAAATTTAAACTTTGAGCCCTGTTAAAAAAGTATTTCAAACACCAAAATTAACCCAGTGTCACATTTTATAGCCATAGAACAACGATGATTTTTGGAATTTCTTGTTAGATCAGATTAGTCATGTCATGCTATATATTTTCGGTGGCAGAGGGATGGGAGTGAGATGTGGAAATGTCCCAGTTGAAAACCATGCCAATCGTTTCTTGCTCTATCCCATTCTCCAGGTTAGCAGTAGCTATACGCTCAACCCAACCCAATGGGGTTCTCGTTACAACTGACATTAATGCAGCATGATTATAGGTTAAGAAATAATGCCTCCACGGCCACTGGTATAATTAAGTGTTGTTTTTGGTTTGCAGGAAAAGATGGACGCGATGGAGTGAATGGTGATGTACATTTTATGTTCCTGTCATTCTCAAAATAAATCTTAGCCATGGGGCTCATTTTGGTCATTTACTGCAGTAACATATTTTTGTAACATTCTTCTCCCCTTCCCTCTTAGCTGGTTGTCTGTGTTCTACCCTAGCTTTTAGACAATTCATTAGGCTGTTCTCTAAAAAAATTGAAGGGAGCCCTGGATGCTCTGTATCTGTGAAATCCAGGGTACCAAGTGTAGGACTTTTTTGATAAAGGTAAGATGTCCTTTAGGGGCCACTGGTTGCTGCTAGAGAATCAGCCCTGTAATCTGAATATTACATTTTGTTAATTGTTTTGAACACAGGAAAAGATGGCCGTGATGGACGAGATGGCAGTGGAATAAAGGTTGGCCTTTCTTTATAATGTTAATGCATTGTTTTCTCTTTTTGCTTGAAAAGTTCAGGAATAAAACAAACCAGGGAACTGTATATCTCAGACATGGTCTCTGTAGTGTGAAGATAACATGTTGCCAAAAAGAAGTTTTACTGTATTTAAACTAACATTTTGAAGCTTGAGGTAACGTAAAAATTTAGGCTTTCCCTTTTCAGAGAAAGAAGAGGAAGACATAAAATAATTTTTAAAAAAATCAATAACCTTAAGGGGCACTGTCACTAGATATATTTGCAACAATGGAAACAGGACAGAAAAAATAATTTTAGTCATATGTTTTCATTGTTGCAAACCTTAACAAAAAAGGAACAAGTTATTGCTAATCATTCATATACTGCCTTACGAAAATTGCTTGCTTGCCCACAGGCGGCCCAAACTCATTACATGAACGCGGACGTGACTCTTGCTTGCGAGCGGTGTTGTGTTACAAACGGTTATTTACAAAGGCTTGTATGGGATCGATCGGTTTTTCTTAAAAGAGATAAAAATGTTATGTTTTTAAATAAAATCGACGTACCTTATTGCCTTGTTGTATTCTTTGTTGTTTACCCGCGTCTCAGGCCGTTTTGAAGCGTTTTCGGAGAGTTAGCGCTATTTTGGTGTTCCACCAAATAGCACTAACTCGCCGAAAACGCTTCAAAACGGCCTGAGACGCGGGTAAACAACAAAGAATACAACAAGGCAATAAGGTACGTCGATCTTATTTAAAAACATAACATTTTTATCTCTTTTAAGAAAAACCGATCGATCCCATGCAAGCCTTTGTAAATAACCGTTTGTAACACAACACCGCTCGCAAGCAAGAGTCACGTCCGCGTTCATGTAATGAGTTTGGGCCGCCTGTGGCTTGCCTGAAGAGGCTAATTACATTGCATTTTTATGTGAGTATGACTTGTCAGTTCCTTTGCTCTTTAGTCAACTGAGCTTGAAGTTACTTGCCTGGCACTTAAAGGGTGGGGAACTTGTCTCAAAACCTCCAGCTGAATATTTTTTGAGCCCTGGTTTTTTTACCAGTCATTGAAGTTAATATCTTTTTGCATGAGCCTGATAAATCCCCTGTCCCCAATGCCAAGGGGCCTAGATCCAAAATATAACAATTATATTTTATCCAGGCCCCTTGGCAGTGGGGACAGGGGATTTATTGATTTAAGATAGAGTAAGCAACGCTGTCAACCCCCCACGATTTCAAATATTGAGAATTGAAAGCAAGGGGATCATAGATGACGTCATAACGCAGGGCGCATGACGTCATTTGTGCAAAAAATACATGTTGACTCCGATCGCCACGAATTTGTGATGACGCAAAACGTGTGAAAAAGATGTTGTTGGCATTGTAATGTTTAACTTGATTGGTTTACTTCCCACCAATCTCGTTAATTTTTATATTACAATGGCATACTGGAGTTAACAAGGAAACGTTCGAAGTTAACAGTACAAAAATAGCTCAAACAACGCAAAATATTTGAAATTTTATTGTCGCAAAGTCGACTCTACAAGAAATAGCAAAATTCGGCGATTATCCGGGAGATGTCATACTCTAATCTGGAGACCGGGAGATACGGTCCAAAATCTGGAGTCTCCTAGATTATCCGGGAGAGTTGACGGCACTGAGTAACCTTCCTTACCCTATTCTATGGTTATAAAAATATGCACGTAGTCACTAAGCAGGTGTATCTAGATAAACTCAGAACTACAAGTTAGTAATGTTCATTTAAATATGGGCATGGAGCAGTTTTGGTCACTTTTAAACTAATTGCATTAATTATGTGTTGACTTAATTTTTAGTAATTTTGTTACTGTTAATAAATAAACGTTATTTAGTGGTAGCAAGTCCATGAAGCGGTTCTTCACCTACCACATTCAACAAGCAATGTGCCACCCCATAACTGCAGCACCCGTGCACCATCATTTTTCTCCACTAAGGCTGAAAATTCTTAAAAGATAAATAAAAGATGAATAAAATTCATAGTAATAGTCATCTTCTAAGTTATAGTGTTAATTTGTCAGTTTGGGTTTCACCTTGTAAATATCTATGTTAGGGAGAAAAAGGAGAAACAGGGAAACCAGGAAGAGATGGAAGTGCAGGTGTTAAGGTATTATATATACGTTCTGCTTTTCAAATGGAGGTTTTTAGTTTCTGGATCCATACACTTGTATCTCTCCATAAAACATCAGTGATTACATTGGGTGTACAAATGTCTTTTGTGTGTTTAATTTTCGGTTGGACTGAGCAAAATGATCAAAATTATACAGACCAGACCAGTTAGCTTTATTTTGATCACACCACAGTATAGATTGTCTCTATTTGTTATTTACCATCTTCATCATCATCATTGTCACTCCTTTGTCACAGTTTGCTTTAATTACTTATTGTTATTGTTATTATTATTATGTTTTTCTTCTTTCGCAGTTCGTACTGTCCAGGGCTCCGAGAAGCGCCCAGTTTCCTTGGGAGCGGCTGGGGGGGGAGTTTTCATTTAATTTGTAGACAGCACTTTTTGTAAAATATGGGCTGTGCTTAGAAGACTGATCTTTGGGAGTTCTTCGATATTGATATTTTTATTGATTTTTTTTTCCAGGTATTTTCCCAGGCCCGGTTTTAGTAGGCCAAGAGCTCCAATATTTACAGGCACAATTTCTGTTTTAAGGCCCCATATCCTAGAGATTTCAATCTCTAATTCCGTATACTTTGAAAGCTTTTCAATCGTTTTGACAGATGATGATGATGATGATGACGATGATGATTATTATTATGTCTTGCTTAGCAGTTCTTACTTCTCAGAGCTCCGAGGAGCTACCAGTTTCCTTGGGAGTGGCTGAGAGGAGGGGGGAGTCGTTATTATCTAGTTGGTAGAGAGCACTTTTCTTAAAATGTGGCTGATCTTCTGGAGGTCATCGATATTGATGTTTCCAGGGATTCTTTTGACGTATTTTCCCGGGTCCATTGTAAGTAGTTTAAGTGCTCCTTATTATTTCTGTTGTAGGGGGTGAAAGGAGAACCAGGAATGGATAAAAACAGTAATGGTGGTGTTAAAGTAAGTGTAAGTTTCATGACCTTTTTTTGTCTGTAAGACAACCTTAACAACCTTAATCAGTTCTCCAACGTGGATTTACCTTCAATCAAATATTTATGTTTGTTATTTTCTGCCAACTAATTTTCAGTGTCCAAAACAAAAACGAAGCCACATGCTTTATCCAACACAGCCACACACACCACTCATTCAATTTTCACGTCTCTCACGCTTCTAAATGTTACATTCGACCTGTTAGTTGGTATGTCCGAGCTGGCGCTCGACCAAACTNTGATCACACCACAGTATAGATTGTCTCTATTTGTTATTTACCATCTTCATCATCATCATTGTCACTCCTTTGTCACAGTTTGCTTTAATTACTTATTGTTATTGTTATTATTATTATGTTTTTCTTCTTTCACAGTTTGTACTGTCCAGGGCTCCGAGAAGCGCCCAGTTTCCTTGGGAGCGGCTTGGGGGGAGTTTTCATTTAATTTGTAGACAGCACTTTCTGTAAAATATGGGCTGTGCTTAGAAGACTGATCTTTGAGAGTTCTTCGATATTGATATTTTTATTGATATTCATTTTTTCCACGTATTTTCCCAGGCCCGTTTTTAGTAGTGCAAGAGCTCCAATATTTACAGGCACAATTTCTGTTTTAAGGCCCCATATCCTAGAGATTTCAATCTCTAATTCCGTATACTTTGAAAGCTTTTAAATCATTTTGACAGATGATGATGATGTTGATGATGATGATGATGACGAAGATGTTTGTTATTACGTCTTGTTTAGCAGTTCTTACTGCTCAGAGCTCCGAGGAGCTACCAGTTTCCTTGGGAGTGGCTGAGAGGAGGGGGGAGTCGCTATTATCTCGTTGGTAGAGAGCACTTTTCTTAAAATGCGGCTGATCTTTTGGAGGTCCTCGATATTGATGTTTCCAGGGATTCTGTTGACGTATTTTCCCAGGCCCTTTGTAAGCAGGCCAAGTGCTCCTTATTATTTCTGTTGTAGGGGGTGAAAGGAGAACCAGGAATGGATAAAAACAGTAATGGTGGTGTTAAAGTAAGTGTCAGTTTCATGACCTTTTTTCTCTGTAAGAAAGAACACTTTAACAATCTTGATCAGTTCTCCAACATGGATTTACCTTCAATCAAATATTTGTTTTTTCTTCTGCCAACTAATTTTCAGTGTCCAAAACAAAAACGAAGGCACATGCTTTATCCAGACACAGCGACACACACCATTCATTCAATTTTCATGTCCCTCACGCTTCTAAATGTTACATTCGACCTGTTAGTTGGTATGTCCGAGTTGGCGCTCGACCAAACTAACTAAACAAGTCGAATTTTATTTCTCTACGGATACCTTTCTGGTACAAAACAAGTACCGCATGTAACTTTAAGTTTTCTTCTTGTATCGCTATAGTAAAGGATAAAGTGGTGATCAGGTTTTGAAATTCCCGAGAATATTAATATATGTTCATTATAATTATAAATACTTTGTTTGATAAGGGTGAGAAAGGATCTCGTGGTGACAAAGGATCACAAGGAGAGAAGGGATCACAAGGACAAAAAGGAATGCCGGGAACGTGTGATACAAAGGTAATTGCTACCTTACAGCTCCTAGATTTTCACTCCTTATAACCTTTAGTAATAATTATTCTTATTATTCGTTCAAAATATTTCCCCGTTTCTGATTGGTTAAAACTACACGCATAATTTACCATAACCAGCTGCTGTTGACGAAATTTGAAAAGAATTTTGTCATATTGAACCGATGACGTCAAAATGACGTCAAAAGTGCAGCCTGGTTGCAGGTTATTGAACCGTTGACCGAGAAAACCTGGGGACGAGGTTGAATTGTTTTGGTAGTTAGAACCAAATGGCGGAACTGTCGCGGAACATTTCACTCGTTTCACCTCGAAATATTGTCTAAAAACATCGCAAGAACAGCAAGAAAACAACTTGACGGACAACATCTGCTATTGGGAGTATATTTGCAGACCTTAATCTCCTAAACTTCCCGATAAAGATGCTTTATCGATATGAACTTACATCGACCGAGGTTAGCATGTTTTAGCTTGTTTTTAAACTCGGAATTATTTTGAAGGAATAATAAAACAATTATTGAATTCAGCTTTCGTAGTATCTAGTGGCTGCAAAACAACGTCTTGAGAACTGCGTTGCTGGCATCAATTTGTGGATGACTGCCAACAAGTTAAAGCTTAACAATGATAAATCGGAATTTCTCTTTCTGCACTCCCGTTTTGGTCATTCGTTGCCCCCTCCCACGATTTCTGTTGGCATGGAAAACATCAGGCCCTCTCAACAGGCTCGCAATCTTGGCGTGATTTTTGACGACACAATGTCACTTTCACCTCATGTTAATACAATAGTTAAGGGTGCCTTCTATCTAATACGAAATATTTCTAAAATAAGAAAATACATCAGTAAAAGTACCACACAAATTCTAATTCACAGTTTTGTTAGCTCGAAGTTGGACTTTTGTAATTCTCTTCTTTTTGGTACCCTAAAACGGGACATAGTTAAGGTGTAGTCCCTTCAGAATGCGGCTGCTCGAATTATCGCCGGTCTCAAAAAACGAGATCACATCACCGAGACTCTAAGAGATGTTCACTGGCTTCCTGTTGAGGAGAGAATTGTTTTTAAAATAAATTTAATAACTTTTAAAACATTGAATGGCTCCGGTCCCCGTTATCTTGAAAATATTTTAAAATTTTACCATAAATCAAGGACATTACGGTCATCAAGGGATCATTTACGCCTTGAAGAACCAAATTTTAACATGAACACTTATGGCCACCGAGCGTTTTCCGTTGCTGCCCCCCGACTATGGAACAAGCTCCCCTTTGAAATTCGAGCTTGTTCTGATGTTAATCTTTTTAAATCTAAGTTGAAAACGTTTCTTTTTAGAAAGGTATATGACATTTAGTTTCATCATATTTGTTTTTGTTTTCTTTCCTTTTTAAGATGTGTGTGCTATAAATTTCCCAATATGTACAGTAGGGTTATATGTAAGCTTGTGATTAATGATATTCGTATGTCCTTTTTTACATTGTAAAGCGCTTAGAACAGCGATGTATAAGCGCTATATAAATTCCATTATTATTGTTATTATTATTTGTGCGGCTTTTTTTCAATTCACACATGCCCAACCCCTACCCCCACCCCACGCCGACGCGTGTCGGCGTGTATCCAGAATTTTTCCGAGTTTCAACATTGTATAGGGTGGGGAAAGGGAGAACTGCAAAAAAATTTCGAAAAAAAAACAAAACAAAAACTTGTGAATGCTGCATAACTGCACTAGGACTTTTGTCCAGGAGTGCACATTAGGAGATTGTTAGCTTTGTTCTTTAATTGTATTTTGTTCTTACAAGTTATTTTGCATTTTAGGGCAAATCAGGGTGCTGTTTAACCGGTAAGGGCATTATTTACTACTGTTGCCTACGATTTACATTTACATTGATTCACTGGAAAGAAGAGTTTTCGAATTTTAAGTTCATGAAACCGTGGCCCATCTTTGGTCATTGCAAAACCACAACGCATGAGTAAATTCTTTTGCCGATTGATTCTAACTAGGTTTTTTTCTTGACATTAGTTGTTAACAAAGATGTTCACCCTTTTTTTTATGGAAGACTGCTCTATTGGACTCCACTTCTTTGAAAAAGTTCAAGACCTACCAACCCGAGGAGCGGTAGATGTGGAACATTTCACCATTGATGGAAACTTGTTTCTTGCTTTTGCCAATTATCATGGGGACATTAGGAAATGGAAGACAAGTTCCATGATCTACAAGATGGACAACTCAACTGGAAGATTGTCTTTGTACCAGGCCCTACAGACAAGAGGAGCTTTTGACCTGGAGTACTTTTCTATCGCTAATAAACATTTTCTTGCTGTCGCCAATCATTACGATGGAACATACCGGGTGGATTCTACAGTTTATCAGTGGAATGGAAAGCTGCTTGTCGACTTTCAGAAATTATCAACAAACGGAGCAATCCACTTCACCTATTTCAAAGTAAATGGGGATAGTTATCTCGCAGTAGCAAACTACCATGACGGAAGTACCCATTCTATAAAGTCAGTTATCTACAAATGGAGCAGCGGCAA